CTCACATATTCTTTATCCAATTGTCTATTGAAGAACACTTTGGTTGTCTCTGTGTCATGGCCACTATGAATAATGCTGCATGAACATAGGGGTGCATATATCTTTGTGAATAAATGTTTTAAAAATTTTGGGGTAGATATCAAGAAGAGGAATTGTTGGGCCATATAGTCACTTTATTTTTAATTTTTTGAGAATCCTCCATACTGTTTCTCATAGTGTTTGTGCCAGTTACAGTCACCAACAGTGTGTGGCAGTCACACGGGAGGAAGACAGAGCTGCTCTCAGAGCTGAATGTGTGCAGCAAGCATACTGCCTTACTTGGTTAAGACTTGGCATGTTAGAGACTGACAAATAGAGTGAAGTTTGGTTTTTCAAGATGCTTTTATTCATCCTTAGGGGAGAGAGAGAGAGAGAGAGAGAGAGAATTGCCATAGCAAACAATAATATTATGATGTTTATTTGGGGCAGGTTTGGGGAGTGATGGAGGTAATAGTGGAAGGTTAACATCCCCTTTCCTCCCAGTTGCCTGGGACCACCGCTGCTTTTTGGTTGCATGACACTGTAACTTAACAGGCTGCCTGCAAATCCAGGCTCATGGGTGTCTCTCTCAAAGTCCAGGCTCAGTGTACGACTTCCCCTTAGTATAGAAATGATTCTCATCACGCCAGCCAGCATTTTCTAGGTGCCTCACCCTTTGAAAACCACACTCTCACTCTTGCACATGAATGCAACGCACCATCACCACATGGTTTTCCTGGTCTTGCAGCTGCTTGTGGACCAGAGAGGATGGGAGCTGGCAAAGCTGGACCCTCAGCTATGTGCCTTTCATCCTGTGGTTGGAGCAGACTCGGGGCCTGCCCCAGCACTTCCACACAGCAGCCCAGCTCTGTCTGTTGGACTTCCCAACATGTCACAGTTCTTCCCACTGTGTTAGCTCTTCCCCCCACACTTTGCACAGGGGTAGGACTAGAAGGAGTAATAAAACTAGCCTTTTTAAAATCAAGAACCATAATGCAGCTGAGTGGGGATCAATTGTGCTGTTCAGGAATGGACTGCTGTGTTAGAGGGTGTCAGTGTATGGACAACCAGGCACCTCATTCTTGGCCTCTGGTTGGTCCTCACGCTGCAAATTGGCTCTTGACAACCACACAAGGAGGAAGAAGACCAGGCTGACTTTGGTGCACAGAGAGCCAGATTTCAGTCCCAAGATTCAAGCCACCATCTCAGATTAGAATTTAGACAATGAGTGTTTCACAATGCCTGTGGGTTAAATGACCACTCACTGCAGGTCTGTCACTGGTAGGTAAAACTGCCTCATCACAGCTGAGGTCTCTTACACAGCTTCTCCCGTTGGAGGAAGACCTTTCCATGGGGATGCTGGCTGGGTAACTGTGGGCAGAGTCTCGACAGCCATGAATTTCTACTTGGTTAGGCTGCTGTTGGGGCAGGCAGTGTAGACTGGAGGTTAGGGACAAGATAAAACATTCCCTCATGAGTGGCCATCACAGTCTACAATAGATTGAGTTTTAATTACCTGCAGAAGTTCTCCTAGCTTGTATTTCCATTAGGCAGGACACAGGTTGTAAAGCTTGACTTTTTAATCAGTCATAAGTCCTGTCTTCACTTCTCATGGAGGGAGTAGAAGAAAATGAACAGATGCTTACAACATTGGCAAAAGGGTCAGTGATCTGTGAATGACTGTCCAGAAATATGGCCTTACAGACAGTGGCCCTCCCATTATCTACTGAGTGCCTCTAGTTTGAATAACTTCAATAAAGTAAGTGAATTAAACATGTGAGTTAGGACACTTCTCTGGGTGCTAATGAGTCTGTATCAAAAGCAGCAAATCTACTTGTATGTTTCTATATCCAGATCTAAAGAAAATCTAACTTGTATACCTTCCTCCCACATACATTTGTGGAGCAGCTAATATTAACATATTGGCAATCAACATATTTATTGAGGCTCTACCAGGTACCAAGCTGTAATTTCTCCTCATCTCTCTCTCCATATGTATATATAACCTCTAAGCCTCACCAACCCTATACAGTATCTGATATTATCAGTATTTTAGGTATAAGAAAATTGAGGTCTAGAATAAAGTACCTCCCCCAGGTTTTAACTTTCCTCTGTTCTGTGCCAGATCAAGGGTCAGACATCGGGTAAGTATAAGCCATGGCCCAGCCTTCACCCACAGGGAGCCCACCACATGATTATTATCAAGTCCCCCAAGAGGACCCGATATTTTGACGTTTGGATCACACGGTGATTGTCCAGAAGAGGCCAGCTCTATCACCACCACACGCTGGTTGTGGGATCTTGCGAATGCTGCTTAACCTTTCTGACTCTGCCTTTTCATGATTGAACTGGGATAACAACTTCCTGCTGCAAATGATGAAAAGCTGGAAAGGGGTGTATGCGGGTGTGTGTGTGTGTGTGTGTGTGTGTGTGTGTGTGTGTTGCTCATCACACCTGGCACGTCAGGGGGAGCTGGCATTATTAACTCTCTGTGGCTCCCATATTTGCACAGTTGTGTCCCAAGGCTCTAAATCACATCCAGCATCTTCCCTTCCTATATTCTAATGCATCATCCTCACAAGGTACTGACTCACATCATTCCCAGCAGATATAAAGGTCTTTCTGCCATTGGTGAAAACGCTGTGCTCCACACAGAGATGCCACCGAGATGTTAGCTTTTCCAAGCTGTTGACTTCTTTTTTGGCTTGTTTGTGCAGGTGTTTGTGGAAATACCCAAGCTAGGAGAAGAATAGCACAGCCAATTCTGGGGTCTTCTCTCCAGACAGCCTGAGCCCTGGGCACCAGAGCAGTTTTTCATCACACACACAAGACCAGAAGAGAAATATTGAAGAACTAGAAATGGCTGGAACTCAGAGCTTACTGTCCAGGTGGAGGCCTCAGCCATGTGCTCTCCCATTAAAGGTAACTGTACTTGTGGTTCATTCTCTAGACTTTGAAGGAAAGAGAACAGTCTGTGGAGCCCATCAACCCTGGCCTCAAAGTCCCTTTTTGCTCTCTGTTTACTGTGTCAGGTGGAGGGAGGTTATTTAATTCCTCTGACCCTCAGCCTTCTCATTTGCAAAAAGGAAATACATACCTGCACTGCATGGCTGTTGAGAAGAATATAAAGGGGAAAGGCAAAGCCCCCAGCACAGTGCCTGGGCCACAGGCTCAGTGTTTCAGCATCCAGTGTCCTCAGTCACAGATGCTTCCATGTGGTCTGAAGCTGTCAACTGAGTGTGCTGGTTCAGGGGCCTCCTGGGAGGTACAGGCCAAGGTCAGCTACCACCTTTGCCCTGCCCAGGTCCATCTGGCATGAGCTACAAAATATTCTGCAGATGTTTGCTATGTGTGCTGAGCATGGAGGAGCTTAAGAGAGCTCAGGCTGGCTACTGCTAATGCTGGGTCTGGGGCCACTTAGTGAGAAGTATGGGACACACTGAGGCCAGATGCTGATTGTTTGAGAGATTTTAGGAAAGTTCACAGCTTGAGCCAAGATAGGCTGTTTGTATGGAAAAGCTACTGGGAAGGGCTTGGGTGGGCCCAAAAGTTGGGTTGGATGGTGCCTCAGGGAATCACCAGGGCAGGGCTAACAGTGTGAACCAGATTGATGGAGACTCAGATATGATGCCCACCTGTCGGCTTTGTGGAGGGAGGGCTCAGCAAAGAAACAATGGTTTCTGCCAGCACTTCTGCCTGAGAGAAAGCTGCCCCTGCAACCCTTGCCCTGGTGCCAGACAATTCAGTTCCTCCCGTATGTCCCTGTCACCTTTCCAGCATCTGCCCCAAAGCTGGAGCTCAGAGCGAGTGAGTCTGAGTAAGTTTGTGTGTAGGCCTTTTAAGAGGAACACCTGGGACTCCAGCTGCCTCCGTGTCACTCAGCCACAATCCCTGCTGGTTTTCATAGCCAGAAGTTATGGGGACTTCTCTTCTTGGCACTGGAACCCTGGGCTGGGGAGCCTGGTGTGGTGGGGCTGGGACCCCTCACTCCTCAGGATGGAACTCCACAGTCAAGATATCCTCCTGATTTATATCCACCACATGTGGGGGTGGGACCAGCCTGTTCCACTTCTTCACCCCTCCTACCAGTCTAGATCCTTCTTCTTCTTTATATCCTTAGCTATAGGACTTCTATTCAGCTAGATTTTAGGTGGTTCTCAATGATGGCTGTTCTATAGTTTAGTTGTAATTCTGATGTGGTTGTGGCAGGTTCCTAGTACTGTGTTTACCTATGCCACCATCTTGACTGGAAGCTCTCAGCCTCATTTTTATCTTTTGTGGTTGAGGTAATGATGCACCTTCACAGAGCTGTAGAGGGAAAAGTGCCCAGGACTGGCTCACAGTAGGATTCTAAGAATATTAGTTCTTTCCTAATCGGCCATGGTGCTCACCTAGACAGTGTGTTGCATGAAGAGCCAGATGTGGAGTCAACAAAAGAATAATACTAACAGTGGACATTTATTGAGTACTTAACCATGGGTCAGGCAGGGTTCTGAGCACATGGATGTCTATCCTATCTAATAAAAGACAAAAGGGTAATTAACTGTACTCCACTATGCTTCCCATTGGCTAATCAGGGTGATATGCAAAATAACTGCCAACAAAGATGTCTAATAAAAGAGAAACATGGTAATTGGCGTACGACCGCTACCCTTTTCATTGGCTAATCAGTGAGTATATGCAAATTAACTGTCAGCCAAGAGGGCGGCCAGCAGCCAGGCACTGAAGCGTGCAGGGAGGCTTGCTTGCTGCGGACTCCAACATTCCCTGCCTAACTTGCCAGCCTCTCAGTTGCAACTCTAAGCAACTATATACTATGTTGCAAATAAGAAGCTAAACAAAACCCCAGAAAAGGGCTTCCATTCAGCCGGGCTCAGACCGCAACATTGTATCTATGTTTTCAGCAGCGAGGCCTCAGAGCTAAAGCTGGCCCAGAATAAAAAAAAAAAGAGAAGAAAACAAGGAGCGGTTGGAAGCTTTAGTCACTCGCCAGCCGGAAAACAGCCCTCAGCCCCTCACCCAGACTGGCCAGGCACCCCAGTGGGGACCCCCACCCTGATCCAGGACACCCTTCAAGGCAAACCAGCCGGCCCCCACCCGTGCACCAGGCCTCTATCCTATATAGTAAAAGGGTAATATGCAAACTGACCCTAACAGCAGAAAGACTGGGAATGACTGGTCACTATGACACACATTGACCACCAGGGGGCAGACACTCAATGCAGGAGCTGCCCTCTGGTGGTCAGTGAGCTCCCACATGGAGGAGCTCTGCTCAGCCACAGCCAGGCTGATGGCTGCCAGTACAGCGGTGGTGGTGGGAGCCTCTCCTGCCTCCTCAGCAGCACTAAGGATGTCTGACTGCAGCTTAGGGGTGCTCCCTGCTGGCAAGTGGACATCCCCCGAGGGCTGCCAGGCTGCCAGAGGGATGTCTGATTGCTATATTAGGCCCAATCCCCTGGGGAGCAGGCCCAAGCCAGCAGGTGGTCATCCCCCGAGGGGTCCCAGACTGCGAGAGGGCACAGGCCGGGCTGAGGGACACCCCCCGCGAGTGCACAAATTTTTGTGCACCGGGCCTCTAGTCTATATATATAAAAGCCTAAGCGACCATTACGGCTGACTGACCCGTCAACCGGTCACTATGATGTGCACTGACCACCAGGCAGCAGATGCTCAATGCAGTAGGTTAGCTGTGGTCAGTGTGCTCCCACAGCTAACCTTTTGTGGCTGGCCAAACTTTCACAGTCCCTCCCCCTGGACTGAGCTAGGCGGCCCTAATCAGCTCCGATGGCCAGCCAGGCTGAGGGACCCCACCCGTGCACGAATTTGTGCACTGGTCCTCTAGTCTCATATAAGGTTGATGATAAGCCTATGAGATAGTTACTCCTTTTATAGGTGGGGTACCTGAGGCACAGAGAGAAAAGGAACATGCCTATGGTCTCTCAGGGAGTAAATGGCAGAGCTGGGATTTGAATCTGAGAAGGAGACTCCAGAGCAGAAACTTTCACCCTGGGCCATACTTTGGAAGGCTCCTTTTGTAGGAAGTGGGTCATAGAGGGCTTCTGTTGAACTGAGAATTTTTTAGCTTATTTTATCCTGTTTAGTTTCCTATGTGTTAATTGTGTTTTCCAGCATGGTGGACTAACAAGCAGCTAACAAACCAAAGGGGGCAGATAGACAGAAAGCTAGTAGTATCTGCGGCCCCATATTCCGGGCACAGTTTAGTAAAAGTCTCTTCCCCACTAGACAGTGGATGATATGGGCAGGTCTGTCTGATCACTGACATCTCCCTGGCTACTTGCACAGTGCCTGGCACATAATAAGTGTTGTTGCATGATTGGACAAATAAATAAACAATCCTACTTGGTTATTGTCACAATACCAAGCAAATGCCTGGCACATGGTAGACAATTCTTAACTTCTGTCAAGAATTCATCCGCTATAAAGTAGAAACCCAGTGCAGCTGCTCTTCCTGGGGATGATTGGAGGTCCTCCTGAGGTTTTCTTCTGCTCAAGAAGCTGCTGTGATCTGGCATCCAGCATGCCATCACTTTGCTGGTGTCATACATGAACCTACTGGATGACTTCACTTCTCATAATGATATTTGCATCTTGAGTAGAGACAGGAGGGGACTTTCACTTGTTGAGTCCCTGCTATGTGCTGGGCATCACCCGCTGTCACAGTTAGAAGAGGAGCTCTCATTCCATTTCTGTGGACTGGAAACTAAGAACAGAGAGACCAAGGACTGGTCCAGGGTCATGTAGGGAGGAGCTGATAAAGCTGGGAACAAATCCCCTGTTGGCCCAACCCTGAAGCTAATGCCCCTTTTGGTGTCCAATGCTACCGATTCCTGAGAGGTGAGAGCTAAGAGGGGCCATCTGCTTAGGAGGGGCAACTGACCTCATGCTGTTTTTATTTTTGTTTCTTTGGATGCCGGTTCTTTTCCTCCATCACTTTCAGAAACCAATGCCAGTGGAATCTACTTTGTGGAACTGGTTAAAGAAGTTGAGTGCTAACTCTGAGGTTATGCTGGGCAAAAGGAGAGGGCAGCAGGGTGGGGCTGGAGAGAAACAAGCCAAAGGTGAGAGGGATAATCCATAGTCATGATAGAACCTGGTGCTCCCAGTCCCAAGCCCAGGATGAAGTTGGGTTGGCAAGACCTCTGTTCAGGATAGATACTTTGCATTTGGTTGGTGAACTCTTTCTGCGGACCCTGGAGGAGGAAGGAGACACCTGGACAGGAATGATATAACCCCACTGATCTAGGAATCTGTATAGATGTGTGTGTGTGCATACATGAAGTAATTATAAGAAAAAGATAGAGTTGGGTCTTATCTAGTGACCTGCAGGGATGTTCGTGATCAACTATTAAGTTTAAAAAAGCAAGTTGCAGAATACCATGTAGTTTAATTCTACTTTTGTATCCACAAACCAAACACAAGCATATAGGACATGCCAGGCACCAGTCAGTGGGTGAGCCAGGTACCAGCCCATCACCCTGTCCACCTATGTTGGTTATTGCTTGTGGAGAGACAGTGTGGTGCATTGATGAGACTCCAATTTTCCAGCACCTGCCATGGGCCACTGCTGGGGCTGGGTACGGCTCAGCTCCCCCAAGCAATTGGTACCTTATGAGCACCTAACCTTACTGCTCACGCATAACATGGGATTGGCAAGCCAGTGAATATATAAGATGGTGTCACATGGAGATGTGTAAGGGGAGACAGTGGCAAGCAGATGGGGCTCTTTAGAGGTGAGTTTCTCATTGTACTTTCAGGGTATTAGCACCGCGTGCTGTGTAGAGGGATCTACGTGAAATCCATCCTTCCTGGAGGACCAGCTGCCAAGGAAGGGCTGGTCCTGCAGAGTGAGGCATGGAGCCGTGCTGGGCGCCAGGGGTGCTGCCGCTCCCACTGAGACTCTGAGCAAATGACGGCTTCAGCAGTCCTGGCTCCCTTGCCTGGAAAAGGGATGAGTTAGCCTGGCCCACCACCTGATAGGTTCCTATCGCAGCCAGATGTCTATAGGGTCACATTGGGAACCATAAGGTGAGTTAAAAAGATAAGATTTAAAAAGGGGGAGAGATCAACCAAAGGACTGGTATGCATGCATATAAGCATAACCAATGTATACAGACACCAGGGGATGAGGGCATCAGTGGGGGGATGGGGGACAATGGGGGGATAAGGACACATTTGTAATATCTTAATCAATAAAGGAAAAAATAAAAAATAAAATAAACATGCTACTGTTTTGCCTTCATGGGAACAAACAGTGCTCCCCGTGAAGGACAGAGTGCTGGGTGAGGCCCGCCTGAGCGTCTGGGGGGCCTCTGCTGGGCCTCCTCTCTGCCCTTCCTCGTGTCCACTCCCTGAAGGAAGGGGGATTTACATTGTTCTCCAAAGGCCACAGTGAAGTGAAAAGGGAACTTAGCACCTTACTTCTTCTCCCCTAGAATTCCAGTGTCTCTGGCATCAACCAGGTCTCCCTGACCTTTTTTGAAATAAAAAAATATATATCCTGGAGATAAATATTATTTTAAAAGGGACTTTTAAAAACTTTACAAAACAGTTTGCCAGGGAACTAGGAGAAAGGATGAGGTTGCACAGAGATGGCTAACCCGTCCATCCAAGGAGTTCTCTGTCCTGGTCTGCAGGGCGTTCAGAGCTCCTGGCCTGCGGGGTGTTCTGAGCGGCGCTGGTACTCAGGCTCGGCTGCGCTCTCGCAGCGTGGCTTCCTGCCTCTCAAGGCTGCATGGCTGCACATGGGCAGGGACTCCCAGAGAGTCCTTCCTGCAGCCTCAGGACCCGTGGGCATGGCAACTGTCTCCCCCCAGGTGACAGGCTCCTGCAGGTAGACGGAAAGAGTCTGAGAGGCCTCATCCACAAGCAGGCCGTGCAGTGCCTCAAGGGCTCTGGGCAGGCAAGGGCACCCTCACTCATTCCTGGGAGAGTCCCTTCCTTCCAGAGTTTCTGCACAACATTAGACACTGCAATTGCCCCTGGGTGGGAGGGGCAGGTAGGAAGCAAAACAAAACTTCCTTCTTCTTCTCTTGCTTCTTCCTTTAGCACAACTTTTCCACGTGGATGTGAAGGCCAGGAGGAAGCAGACCGATGTCCCCAAGCAGAACACCTACTGTCTATAAATAGCCTTGAACAACTTACTTGCCATTTGCCTAGATTCTGGCATCTCACAGCTGGACAGAGCTGATGGAGTGTGGCCACTGCCCCGCCTGGCTCTGGCTGCCTCTCGCCCTCTGCTCCAGCTCCCACTGACCAGTATTCCACCTGCTCCCAGGCCCTCTCCCTAACCTGCCTTTGCACATGCTGCACCCCGCCCAGTTCACACCATTCCCATCCTGCGGTGTGGTTATAAGCCACGTTGTCCTGAGAATCCTGTCATTACAATGAGCCAGGAATTCAAGACTGAGCTGGAGGCACTCACCCACTAGGTGCTCTGTGTTCTGTGCAGTGCCCAGGCGGCATCTGGGTATTGCCACGTTGTGTTCCACCTTCTGCCCAAGGTGGCAGGCTTTGCTTGCCCCAGGGTCCTACACTGCAGGGCTAGCATCACTCTCCTGGGAACTGAGGAGCCAGCAGAGACAGAAAGGACTCCTGGGCCCCTTCTGGCAAACGTGGCTTCCTTTCCCAAAGCCATCTCCTGGTGACGGCGATTTACTTATATTGGCAGCCTCAGTTCACATATCTTGGGAACAGAATCATGATTTATTAGGTCTCTGTTCTTTAGACCTGTGCTAATTAACATGATTACGAAGGCACTGGGCCAGCCTAGCGGTGGTGATGACAGTAGGAACTGTCACTCGGATCGTGGGCTTAGTGCTAAATGATACTGCAGAGGAAGAGTGTTAGTCGGGCCAAGGCCCCTGAATGAAGCTTGGCATTTCTGAAAAGCATCCAGCTGATATCTAGCCACTGGCCCTCAGCCACGCTTTGGGTAATAGGAGTTAGAATGTGTGGGGAAGAGAATGGAAATCGAACCAGAAGGAGGGGGGTCAGGCTGGCATGGGCTTGGTACACCATGCTAGGGGTGGGACTTTAGCTGATAGGAAACATTGGAGACTCATTATCATTATGTTTTAAAATAGATTTTAGAGAGAAGCAGAGAGAGAGGGAGAGAGAGGGAGAGAGAAAGGGAAACATGGGTTTGTTGTTCCACTTATTTCTGCATTCACTGGTTGATTCTTGTATGTGCTCTGACCTGGGATCAAACCTGAAACCTTGGCGTATTAGGACAATGCTCTAGCTAGCTGAGCTATCCAGCCAGGTCTGCATTGGAGATTCTTAACCAAAGTGTTGCCTTTTCAATTTGTGTCTTTGATCAATCCCTGGGTAGCCACAGGAGGAGATAGGGTCCAGCAAGCCAAGGAGCCGGCCACAGTCCAGCTGGGCTGGGTGACAGGAGAAGCCTTGATTGTTGTAGTTAATACTAGAGGGATTTGACCACCAGGCCGACTGGCTGTGGGAATTAGCTGTGTCTCTGCATTGGAGATTCTTAACCAAAGTGTTGCCTTTTCAATTTGTGTCTTTGATCAATCCCTGGGTAGCCACAGGAGGAGATAGGGTCCAGCAAGTTAAGGAGCCGGCCACAGTCCAGCTGGGCTGGGTGGCAGGAGAGGGAGTAGACAAGCTCTGAGGGGAAGCTTCTGATGGAGAACATTCAAGCCTTAGAAGCCAGATGAAAATTTGGAGGGCAGAGGGGAGAGCGGGACCACTGTAAGTGTGGCCCCTGGGAGATTAGAGGGATGGCTCCACATTCTGGGGGAGCAAATGCACAGGGAGAAATGTTTTAGGCAAAACAAGGAGGAGGAAGTGAGGATGGGTGAGAGAATAAGGTGAACATGACCTTGAATACCCTGAAATAGAGGCACACACATTGCTTTCAGGAGCATTTGTCCAATAGGCAGTAGAAATATGGCTTTGGATCCTATCAAATAAGCTGGCTTGGAGATTTTGATTTGAGATTCAAATGAAGCAGCTACTGAAAGTATCAGAAAATTAAAAAGCATTTTCAGGGTGAAGGGGGAGCCTCCCGGGTGCCATCTGAAGTATAAACCGAGTTTGTTCCCTACCCTAGATCGCAAGCCTGGTCTTAGGGAGAAGAGGCCCAGGACTGCACAGCAGTGTCCTTCTGTTAATAGCAGGACGGGAGTTGAATGCAGGGCTGTTTCCTTGGCAACAGCCTTGCCTGGCAGGCCTGCAAGCTGTGTCTTGGTGACAGATGGTGAGAGGAGAGAGAATCGAGTGTTACTATTGTCATGTCATCCTGGGTTGCTTTCAAATTGTCGGCTGGAAAGGGGATGCGGGAAGGCTTCCTCTGGGTTCCCCAAAGATAGTGAGCAGTGGTGGCCGTGATGTGGTGGCTTTCCGAAGGCGATCTAACAAAACCTGTTTCCGGAAGAATAATGCATCGTCCCCAAGTGGTTGCCAGGCGTAATTCTGTCCCGAAACCTGCGGTTTTCTGATCAGCTGCTGCTTGAGTATAACATTTGGGGGTGACAGTGAAAGGAAAGGGTCATGCATTTTCTGTCCAAAGCTCCACACGCAAGCCAAGACCTTTGCAGCAGGAGCCGGAGGAAAGACGAGGCAGGCCGGAGAGGAAGGAGCTCAGAAGCAGCCTTTTGTCAGCAGCCTTCAAAAAGCAGACCCACAGTCAGTGTGCGTGGGCATGGCTGCACATCTGCGGGCGGTCTGCCCCTCTGCACGTCCCTGTGATTTTGTTTCCTGCTGGGAAAAGTTTATTTCCTGGGATATCATGATCTGGAGCTTACAATTTTCCTTTTTAAAAATATTTTTATTGACTTCAGAGTGGAAGGGAGAGGAAGAGAGAGATAGAAACATCAATGATGAGAGAGCATCATTGATTGGCTGCCTCCTGCACACCCCACACTGCAGATCGAGCCCGCAACACAGGCATGTGCCCTTGACCGGAATCGAACCCTGGACCCTTCAGTCCACAGGCCGATGCTCTATCCATGGAGCCAAACTGGCTAGGGCCATTTTTCGATCCCTTTATAAGGTTTTCTGGAAGGTATAAGACAGGTTGAGTGCAGGTAGCCATAGTGAGCGACGGGCTTGGTGGAGGCACACGTGTGCCTGAAACAAGTCTGTCGTCTTTCATTGCTGCTTGTAGACTCCAGTGAGGACTTGGGAAACTGACCATGCAATGAGCTGAAGTGGCCAGATGATGGCGAAGGTGAAATTAGTCTCCGCACACTTGAACCTAAGAGCTTCTGGGGCTTTTATTCTTGCCCCAAGTCAGAGTTCACAGGCGCTCTGCCCCTCCGCTGACCAACAGCCAGCTGAGCTGGAGAAAGAAATGAGGGGGCGCTGAGAGGCCCAGCGGCTGCCGGACCACTCAGGCTCCTGGACTGTGTCCCTCTTGGGTGCCCAGAGGCAGCTGTTTTGTCTTATGATCAGCCCACATGGCTAAACAAAACAGCAGCTAAAACATTTCCATGGAATTGTCTCCATAGTCTAATTATGCAAAATTTAGTTTCAGGGAAATTAAAAAGTGATTGAGGCTCTAAAGGAGTCCGAGAAGTGTGTGTGATACTAGTTTTAGTAAAGACCGTGGGCATACCGTGTCTGTCCCTGAATAGGTCTTTACGGCCAGATTTTGTTGATCATCTGTCTGATAGGATAGCCACTCATCACATGTGGCCATTAAGTACTTGAAATGTGACCAATCCAAATTGATAACACATACTCGCAATTCCTGAGGACTTGGTTCATGAGAGGAGTGTAAAATAGCTCATTAATAATTATTTTGTGTTGATTATAAGGTGAAATGGTAATATTTTTAGATATATTTAGACATATATCCTATATAATAAAAGCCTAGGTGGCATTGCCCAACGTTGTCACAAAATGGCCACTGTGATGTCATCACAAGATGGCTGCCACAAGATGGCTACCCTCACATCATCACAAGATGGCCAACACAAGATGGCCGGCAGGGGAGGGGCAGTTGGGGGGATTAGGCCTGCAGGAGAGGGCAGTTTGGGGGAACCAGGCCTGCAGGGGAGGGCAACTGGGTGCAACCAGGCTGGCAGGAGAGGGCAGTTGGGGGTTACCAGGCCTGCAGGGGAAGGCAACTGGATGCAACCAGGCCGGCAGGGAAGGGCAGTTAGGAGTGACCAGGCCGGCAGGGGAGGGCAGTTGGGGGCCATCAGGCTGGCAGGGGAGGGCAGTTGGGGGCAACCAGGCCTGCAGGGGAGGGCAGTTGGGGGCGACCAGGCTGGCAGGAGAGGGCAGTTGGGGGTTACCAGACTGGCAGGGCAGGCCATTTGGAGGCAATCAGGCCAGCAGGGAGGGCAGTTGGGGGCAACAGGCCTGAAGGGGAGGGAAGTTGGGGGGGACCAGGCCAGCAGGGGAGGGTAGTTGGGGGCCATTAGGCCTGCAGGGGAGGGCAGTTGGGGG